AAGCTTCGATAAATCAGTAAATACTGAAGCTAATTTATTTAAAATTGATGTTTGCAATAATTCTTTAGCAAAAAGTAAGCTTATAATAAAATGTTGGAAAATGGGCGTGACCCCGTCCACTTAAGACCACATACGTGTATCTCGGTAACCGTTCGATCAAAGTGTACCAAACTCGGTATGATTATTGTGGTTGCCCCATAAAGGCAAAACGTTGAAAGTTATTGAAATCTGACTAAAATTACGACCACCTTTTTATAACGCTAATTTTACCCAAAATTGATACTAACAACAATCCCTTGAAAAGAAGTAACATTATTATGGAATTTTGGAAAATGGGCGTGATGCCGCCCACATATATCCATATAAATTCATATCATTATGTCTAACTGCACGTTCTATCGAAGATCTTTGAAATAGACGTAAAACCACTACTGCTTACCATGTAGCGGTAGTTTTCGGAAAGGTGAAAAAAACTATATTGAATACTTGCGCCGGGTATTTAAAACTTAGACGTTTTTACTTGTTAAGAAATAATTTAGGTGAGTAAATTAGGTGATTTAGTTAAATAAAAAATGGAAAGGTTAGTAATTTTTAATACTTTTTTTTTTAGTACTTGAGTTTAAAAATTTGAAGATTGTATTCAATAAAAAGTTTTTAAAGGGTCGTAAATCAAACCTGCGCCACTAAATAACTACTCGCTCGTTGCGAAAAACTTGAAACTTGACAAAATTATAAATTCTTTTCGATTGACGCTGCACCAGTCGATAGGACTTTCAGTTATATTTTTTTTTTTTATTGCGGTACAATAATTCTTTTTTGGGAATGCATCGGTCTGCAAATGTCGTATGTATCCTCCTGACTTTCATCTTCACAATCTAGTATCATGGCAAGGTCGTTGTTTAAACACCGTTTTTTTCCAAAGAATTCTTCATTCTCATTCTTTGCGTTGTTTCTGAATGTGGAGAACCAGTAAAGTCAACAGCGTTTTTCGATCATAGTTTTTGTAATTCATTTTTGATCATTTCTTCTGTGGCTGGCCAGATATACGTTTTATCATTGCACTTGCATAATATTCCAGGGACCGAAAATAACAGTTATTTTTTTACCAGTTAAACTTGGCCTAATATTTTTTATTCCGAAAGTTTTTTCTGGATAATAAACAAACAGCTTACCAAATTAAACAAATTTGGTATCATGTGAAAGAGGACTGAAATAGCTTTTAAACAGAAATAATATATTTTTTTTATATGATTTAATACTAAAGATATTCATATACCTTGGGGGTTTGTTCTATGGTAATTAATTATCATTTTTTATTGAAATATTTTTCAATAGGTGACTTTGCTTGTTTAGACATTTCAGTTTTAAAGCTATTCAAGTCCTCTTTCATTTGATACCAAACTTGTTTAATTTGGATAAGCGGTTTGTTTATTGCCCGGAAAGGACTTTTAGTTGGGAATAAAAAATATTTGGCTAAGTTTAACTCGTAAAGAAAATAACTGTTACTTTCGGTCCCTTCAATATTCGCATTCGCAAAAGATCCGCATTGATTATTACGAATGCGAATGCGGAAGCTCCGCGGTTACGAATGCGAATGCGAATATTCGCAACAACCCTGGTACAGATCTATCTATTTTTTATTGAATTTGGTAACTTTTTCTGGTGTTTTTGGTAAAAGAGAAAAAAAATCTTGTGGTAGCACTGATATGTATGTGTGTATATTGGTCATAACTAGACAAATGTGGATTTGGAAGTGCTCCGAAATTTTAATAATAATATAATAGATTGGCGCTTACACATATGTTAGTGCTTGGCCGAGCCTCTCCTCCGACTTGTGGCGTGCGCCCTGATGTTGTCACACAAAGCGGAGGGACCTACAGTTTTACGCCGACTCCGAACGGGCCCTAAATTTTAGTTTAGTTTAAAATAAGTTTGGCAATTTTTTGTTGAATTTGCTAAAAAATAAACAAAATTGTGGCAACACTGAACAAATGTAAGTAAAATATAGCCATCTAAAAGTCTACACTACGTTGCTTATGCATTTCACAGGTTTTCGTTCATTTTCTGACAGTCAGTTACGGCAGCTTATTCATTTTATAGTCAGCCCTTAACCCTCTCCCCTACAAAATCCTCTGCGACCTTGTTCACCACCTGGACGAAGGAGGTCAGACCACCGCTGGGAATTCACGTCGATGATACACCAATTCCGATGGTGAGTAACCCCAAAATACTCGGAGTAACCTTCGATAGTCTGCTCTCCCTCTCTGTGCACGCAACCGCACGTCCTCAAGTCGCTAGCCGGCAGTACTTAGGGCAAAGACAAAGAAACGTTGCTGGCAACATACAAGGCAATAGGCCGGCCGGTTTTAAATTACGCAGCACCAGTGTGGTCGCCGGGGACTAGTAGGACACAATGGATGAATATGCAGACTACACAAGTCACCGCACCACGGACAGCGATTAGATGCCTCCTGGTGTCGCCAGAACACCACCTGCACAACGAGGCGAAAATGCTCCCGATAAAGGAGCACAACACAATGTTCTGCAAGCAATTCCTAGTAGGCAGCCACAGACGTGGACACCCAAACAGACACTTGCTTGCAGTAGAGCCCTCCAGAGGTTCATAAAGCAACCTCTGGACCCGTCAGCTTGCCGACAGGCCCTGAGCGGCATTCACAGGGAGTCAGTCTCGGGTTATGTAGACTCCTGACCTGTGAATGATGTTCTAGGCACACAATCACCTGACATCGACGAGACTGAGCTTCGTCTGCCTCGGGAGACTAGAACCATAATAGCCCAACGTTCTGGCTACTGCAGCAGGTTAAACTCAAACCTGAGCAGATTACATGCAGATGTGTCAAACGAGTGTCCGGCATGCGGAGAGACACCCCACGACTCGATAATTCATGTAGATATCTTAATATTTCTTTCAATATTTCGTATAAACTGCCAAATTTCCTGCAAATACCTTAAAATTTATAAAAGGAACTTCACTACTAAGTGCCTACTTTGCGTACTTTTCTACTACCATTTTCGCAACAAAATTTTTAATTGAATGTTATATGAGCAGGTGCTATTATTCATAATATACAAAATTCACAAGATATTTGGTTAAGCAAGGATAAAGAGAACTCATCATTTGAAGGTTCGAATATTCCACCGACTAGCGCAGCGGGTTTACGGGATGTACATAGCTCAGTGGTTAACGCTTCTGACTTTGAACATCGAATTCGCACCTATACAAAAAAAACCTATAAAAGAAAGGAAAAGTTAATTAGCAACAAGAGTTTACGGGATGTACATAGCTCAGTGGTTAACGCTTCTGACTTTGAACATCGAATTCGCACCTATACAAAAAAAACCTATAAAAGAAAGGAAAAGTTAATTAGCAACAAGAGTTTACGGGATGTACATAGCTCAGTGGTTAACGCTTCTGACTTTGAACATCGAATTCGCAGGTTCGATCCCTGCTGAAGTCTAGAAAAAAGAAGTCTGATGAGGACTTCGGTGATCTCCGAAATAGCTGCTATAACTTCTACCGCTTAGACTTTGTTGCTTTTTCAATTTTTCCTAATAAACAATCGTGGTACAAAGCTCAATAAAAATATTAAAAATAAAATGTTAACAAGCCACAATAACATTGACAAATACATAGTTTAGGAAGAGCCTGCCTGAAACTATACAAAAAAGCAAATAAGCAAATGGATGTATAGAATTGACAACAACAACCACGCTGTCGAGTTTAAATAGCGGCAAATCAGCTGCACTTGATAGTAGTTGGTTGAATAAGGAAAATGAATTAGCAACAAGAGTTTACGGGATGTACATAGCTCAGTGGTTAACGCTTCTGACTTTGAACATCGAATTCGCAGGTTCGATCCCTGCTGAAGTCTAGAAAAAAGAAGTCTGATGAAGAGATGTGGTGATCTCCGAAATAGCTGCTATAACTTCTACCGATTAGACTTTGTTGCTTTTTCAATTTTTCCAAATAAACAATCGTGGTACAAAGCTCAATAAAAATATTGAAAATTTTATAATTTTAAAGCTACATCTGTAGCTATATCTATTACATTGTTTTTGGATCAAAGATGGCTGTTTGGAGGAGATACTCTTGTTTTTGAATGCATCACCATGTGATATCGCAAATAATTACGAGAAAAATAACTTATTCATTCCGATATAATTAATTTGTATTTTAAAAAGGTTTTTCTTATCCAAAACCATTCAATTGTATAAAATGCCAAATGGGGGGAAAATGTACCAAGCAGAAAATAAATTGCCAAATTAATCACCAGTGGCAACTGTGCAAGTGATCAGCTGTTTCGAAGGTTGCAAGTTCTTGCAAATTTTGCGTTCTCGTACTTCTGTTGCTATTTCGTCTCTTTGAGAGCGAATGCTGCTAAATTCTCAGACCTTTGGCTGCTGGAGAATTTTGTCCTCTCAATACGAGTACACACCTCTTATCACTTTTTCGGCACTTGCAATACAAATACAAAAGTTCTACATAGTTAATTAATAAGACATATTCTTTTGAACACATTTCAAGAGTGGTTGTATATTTTTGGTTTACGTTGTGCTTAATTTGCTATATTCAAAGATGGCTTCAGAAATTGGTGAATCGTGAAGAAAACACGTTTTCTCAAATTCATCACTGTCAACTCATTGTTCTTCGCCATATTCTTTGTTTACCCATTGCCACAAATGTCATTCTGCGGGAATGCGCAATCTTGTATTCTATCGTTCTTGGACTGTAGAAAGTTACCAATTGTGGCAACCATGCTCGTGGTCGGGCAACACGCTTTGTGCTCTCGTTCGTCTGAGTAATTCTAGTTGGCCGTTCACAGCTGACAACAATTGTGTACAAAAGAATTGCTCTGTGTGAACGCGAAGGGCAACACCAAAAGAGAAATTGCCGAAAATGACTAACAACAGTTTCTCTGTGTGAACCCAGTCTTATGGAACTGTACGATGGTGAATACTTCGCGTTGCGCATAGCAAGGGCTGACGTGAACTGTTGGTAAACAAACGCAGCTGATCCAAACAAAACAAAACAAAAAGACTCCGAAATTTGCCGGCAGCTGATTTCTGCAAAAGAATTTTACAGAGCTCAAGCCTCACGCGTATTGAAATGTCAAACATTTGTTCTGCAAATACAAAAACAAATGCAACATGTGTACTAGAATTTGACAGCCAAACGATTTTTGACGACACTGCTGCGAGTTCGTCGGCTGTGTATTTGGTCAATTTTGGCTGGTTGAAGTTTGTGTGAGAGTGAGATTTTATTTATTCGTGGAAAATTTGTATACATATAAGTTGGATAAAAAGATTTAGAAAATTATATAATGGCCTCTGAAAATGTCTGCGAAACCTACAAAATGTTTTTGAGTACCTAAAAGTGATATTTGTAATCGCTAATGATAAAAAATCAATAGCTACAACTATGTATGTACATGGTGCAATGTGGAGAATTAAAAGAAAAGTGCAAATAGTTTTCCCTTTAAAATTGTCGAAATGACGACGTTATATGTTCATACATACATTTAAAAAAGTGATAGTTAACCAAATCTATCAAAATATTGACAAACCTGCGTGCACAAAACCCACTGCATTTATATTAACAAATTAATCAACCATACATACATACTTATAATGTACCAACATTCATCGCAGTGACGTCGCATTTCGTTCAGCCTACCTTTCGCATGCAAATGCTATTCACAAGTACATTACATATGTAACTACACAGAAAATTCTTAGAGCCTTGCATAGTATAGTAAATCGCTTCAGCTTACCAAGGATAACATAAAAGCACATTCGGTAGATGCATCATGTCCTACACGGAACTGGAATCAGGTTACCAGGACTTGCGACAATCATCGCAGCACGCACAGTCACAAATGCAATCCTTCACAAGCGAGCGCAGCAGCCGACCTGGATTTTTTGTTGGCAGTGATGGCAATGTAATGAGTCTTATCCTATATACATATGTAAATGCTAATATTTAGATTGGAACGAATTTGTGTTATATGTATATACATATGTATGTATGTATACTATAAGCATACCTTTGTTTTTATAAATTTCCATAATATGTATATGTAGGTCATATACACCGCGATCTCTGACGTGGTCTATGGTGCGTTAAAAAGCGTACGTAACCGGGGGTGTAAATACAGATGCCTGTTGTATTAAAAATCAATAGTATCTACTTTCTTATGTTTAACGTTAACCATACGTTTACAATACATATGTATGTATTCAATAGTGTAATGACTCGGGGGGGGGAAAAACCAAAACTCGAGAAAAACGGTTTTAAAGTTTTGAATTAACATAACGTTACCTTAATTCACAAAGTCCCTAACCATCAATTTTCGTAACTGTGTTTTTCACACGGTAAAAATAACCGTAGATCCATGGTAAAAATTACCGTAGATCTACGGTAAAATTACGTGGATAATGTGTTGCCGGAGAAGTGGGGCAGAATATAGGCATTATAACCCTTACTACTCAGAATTCTCCTTTCTGTGTTGCCGGAGAAGTGGGACAGAACTTCCTTCGGCGTAATTTTTAGCGTGGCGCGTGTAAGTAGACACTTCCATTAAAATACACCTTTGGGAGGGAAACGCAACAACAAGCACATGGAAGAAAAGTTCTGAAATAAAACGAGGAATCTGCTTTTAGGGCCTTTGTGAATTAAAGTAACGATACATCCCAGGAAACATTTGGAGTCATAAATGAGTCTTTAAGGAGTCCTATTTCGGAGCCATTACGCTCACAATGAGCTCATTTAAGAGTCCGATATGAGGGTGTTTCCCTTTCTTCGAAGGTCGACTTATATGAGCTTAAATTCATACATCAAATGAGCCTCGATATGAGTCATATTGGACTCTTATTGGCCTAATATACGGCTCATTTTGGACTCTTTTAAAACAATTATTGGCCTCATATATGAATCATTTCAGACTCTTTTCGAGCCTCTAATCAGCCTCATAAATTACTAAATTCGGACTCTTATTTTAGGTTGTTCTTTGAGTCTTATTGAACGCACTATATTTGCAAAGGCATTCAGCAAAAATTCCTTTCAAATAACATGCATACATACTTACGTGCATATACACATTCCAACATGCATGCAATAGCAGCAGCTGCAGCTAAATTTTGTTCATTTATTGTTTTCTAATTATTTTCAATTTCTGTATAAACAAGTTTGGATATAAATTTTAAATCTTTATTGTTTTTATATTGGCACAAGGTGCTGGCTCATAACTTGGATCCAAAATGTATTCAACAAAGTGTGATTGATTTTGAAGTTGATCTCATAAGAAACAGGCTATAATGTCAAATTGAAATGAATTGTTAACCCATTTGAAAATATCTTTTTTTTCAAATTTGAATTTGTTTAAAAAAAATGTGCACAAAAACTTTCAAGCAACAAATTTTTTTAACAAACGTGAAATTGTTAAGAGATAAACCGCCGAGGAGAGCAAGTAAGCACATTTAAAGTTTGGTAATAAGTAAATACGTTCGACTTTGCTTAAATATTTAATGTGAGGAAACCAAGATGAAACGGAGCAAAACTTTTGAAAGGTGCGCTGTATGCAATAGAAGTCAGGACACGAAAATAGTGCGATGTTTTAAACCACCTAGTTGCGAGTTAAGACGGCAGCGATGTGGTGTTATACTACGTGATTCATCTCGCGTTTGTGAAAACCACTTCAAGGAAAGTGATTTCAGCTCGTTTATACCCAAACTATTTCGCACGAAAAAAATTTNGGCGATTTTTCAGGCAACTTTTGCGTTCAACTCACGCCGGGTTGCACGAAAAAAAATTTTAATGACTTAAAAATATCAAAATATTCGCCATAAAAAGGCGTTTGCATTGTTTAACTTTGCATTCTACTTTTGGTTGAATGGCCTTTCAACTAATCGCTTTCAACAAAGTTGGGCGCCAGCCAACATTCGTCTCGTGCGTACACCTTTTAAGTGTGCAATTACATCGCGACATTGACTAAACCGAGCTGTCGTGTGACGACTGGGTTTATGGATGCGGTTTGGCAATGTTATATTGCGTCAAAGTCTCATTCGGAGACACCAGGATTGTGTTGTGGAGGACAATACCTAAATACCTTCGTTGGCTCATTTACCAAAACCATTGCACGCTTTACTTTACAGCACTTGGCAGAATCAAGATATCTCCACGACTATTGACAAATACATTTCGGCATTTAAGGGAATTTCGTCTCTTTAGCCTACATTGAATTTCTGTAGTCCAACGATTCTCACCCATTTTGTCTTGTTGGTGCCAGCGAATGAAAAACAAACATTTCTTCAAATTTAAAAAGTAAAAATTTTACTACTAACAATTTAAAAATGTTCTTAAAACTTGCAAAGAAATTTGGAAAAGAAATATCACTGTTTTTGTTTTTAGCAGTAGGGTGGGAGTGTCATTGATAAAATTAGAGCGAGAGAAAGTTTTTCTTACAAAACCTTTCATTATTGAATCATGGATCATATATGAGTCCTAAAAGATTCATATAAGAGTAAAAAAATTTTTGTTTTTGAACCTCATATTTCTTACCTACCTAGGACTCCCTTTGGAATCATATATTCTGAACGCTCAGAATATGTTTGCGGGGATATACTCCCGTAGTAAAAAATAATACATACATACTTGGTTCTAGTGAGATACTGGTAATCGATAGAGCTATGAACTTTTTACAGAACATAGAAGAATTGGCGGAAATTTTTGCATGCTTAACTAAATTTTTGTAATTTTTGGATTACGACAGTATTGAAGTAAATGACCGATATGTACATATATACTTACATATATACATATATTCGGTTCTTCGCCACAGCGTTTCTTTCCTGACACGCCCAGCAAACATTTGGAGTAATAAATTGGTCTTTAAAGAGTCCTATTCGGAGCCTTTTTGTTCATAATGAGCTTATTTAAGAGTCCGAAATTAAGAGACATATATGAGCTAAAATTCACACATTAAATGAGCCTTAATATGAGTCATATTGGGCTCATATACGGCTCATTTTTGATATTTTTTATGAAAATTTTTGGCCTCATATATGAATCATTTCAAGCTCTTTTTTAAATTACTCTTATTGGCCTCGTAAATCGCTTTTCGGGACTCTTTATTTTAGGTTATTCTTTGAGCCCAATTGGTCTTATTCTTTGGCTGCATTTCTTTATTCATTCTGAACGTTTGGAATAAACTTTTTTGTTTACTTATTGTTTAGAACGTTCCTAGTGATATGTTAACGTTATTTCAAACGCGTTCTGTTTATTCCGGCTGTGTAATGGAATTATCCGGAACGTATAAAGAAACGCAGCCTTTGACTCTTAAAGCTTAAACAGACGGCAGCGTTGATTCGGCTTAACTCGGACTTAATCCGGATCAACTGCAGTTAATTCCCGAGTTGATCCGGATCAACGCTGCCGTCTGTTTATGCTTTTAGAGCCAGTTATTCAGTGGCAGTTCAAACTTAGATCACGTAAACTGCGTTTAAATTGAACAGCTGGCTGACATTTGATTGGCTTATCTTAGTTTAAATCAGCCAGATCGGGCGTTTAAACTGAGTTTAAACCACGGCCGTGCACTGAAAAACTGGCCCGTATTGACTTCAAATACCATACATACGTACATACATATGTACATATTAGGGATGTCAATCCTGGGATCCCTGGATTCNTTGACTTCAAATACCATACATACGTACATACATATGTACATATTAGGGATGTCAATCCTGGGATCCCTGGATTCCGGTGTTTTTGAGCTCCCGAAAATTAATGCAAGCAAATCCCGGGATCCCGAAAAACTTAGAAAAATAAAACAGGGGGTTCCACAGGGTGGTGTCCTTCCACTACTGTTTAACTTTTACATTTCAAAGCTTCCTCAACCACCAGAGGGAGTCTCGATTGTCTCTTACGCCGACGATTGCTCGATCATGGCGACTGGGAATGGAATTGATGACTTGTGTTTGAAAGTAAACGGATATCTCTCTGACCTTTCTCGCTTCTTCACTGCAAAGTGTCTAGCCCTCTCCCCTACGAAATCCTCTGCGACCCTGTTCACAACCTGGACGAAGGAGGTCAGGCTACCGCTAGGAATTCACGTCGATGACACACCAATTCCGACGGTGAATAATCCTAAAATACTCGGAGCAACATTGGACAGCCTGCTCTCCTTCTCTGCGCACACAACCGCTATTGTCAATAAAGAACAGAGCCGCAACAAGGTCCTCAAGTCGCTAGCCGGCAGTACTTGGGGCAAAGACAAAGAAACGTTGCTGGCAACATACAAGGCAATAGGCCGGCCGGTTTTAAACTACGCAGCACCAGTGTGGTCGCCGGGGACTAGTAGGACGCAGTGGACGAGGCTACAGACGGTACAAAATACAGCACTCAGGACAGCGACAGGATGCCTCCTGATGTCACCAGAACACCACCTCCACGATGAGGCAAAAATGCTCCCAATTAGGGAGCACAACACGATGCTCTGCAAGCAGTTTCTTGTTGGGAGCCACAGATGTGGCCACCCAAATAGACAGCTGCTTGCAGAGGAGCCCTCGCCGAGGCACGTCAGGAGGCATCTATATGAACTGACGGACGAAGTCCAGTGGTTCATTAAGCAACCTCTGGACCCGTCAGCTCATAGACAGGCCCTGAACGGCATTCACAGGGACGCAGTCTCGAGTTATGTAGACTCAAGACCTGTGAATGCCGTTCTAGGCACACAAACACCGGACATTGACATGACGGAGCTCCATCTGCCTCGGGAGATGACCAGAACGACAATAGCCCAACTTCGCTCTGGCTACTGCAGCATGCTAAACTCCTACCTGTGTAGGTTAAATGCGGATGTGCCAAACGAATGTTCGGCATGCGGAGAGACCCCTCACGACTCGAAACATCTCTTCGCATGCCCGGAAAACCCCACAACCC